GGATGGCATCACCGACTCACTGGACATGAGCTTGAGCAAGCTCCGGGAGATGGTGAAGGATAGGGAAGCCTGGAGTGCTGCAGTTCATGGGGTGGCAAAGAGTCGGACACGACTGAGCGACTGAACGACAACAAAAGCAAGGCATGCAGGATTAGAGTATACAGCTTTTGATCATGATCATGGAACCCTTTCTACACAGAACTTCGGGCTAGAGAACTACTGACGGTTTCCAGAGTGGGACACTAAAAATACCGCAGCCACCTGATGCCCAAGCGGGCAGTGAATCACTGGCCTTCAAGCACCAGAATGCAGGCCAGGCCTGGCCTACCATGGCCGCTGGCGGCTGACCCTTGCCAGATGGCCCAAGTCCACTGCTTCGCACCCAGGCAGTCAGTGGGGCTGGGGAGAGAGGGCCCCCAGGAGGCAGGAAGCTGCTGCAGGGGCTTCCTGGGTGTGGGGTGCTTAGAGGTGGGTGTGTCATGGGAAGAAACGGGGTTCCCCCGGAAAGGGCAGTGGCTTCCACAGTGATAAGCAATTGCTTTACTATTAATAAATAACAATCAGGGCATCCCGTCAGAACCCACAGATCTGCCTCTCAAATTACCCCACGGCCGCCAGATGTCGCTGTTGCAGGGAGCATGAATTTGCGGTCCCATCTCCCGACAGGCTTTTACAGGCTTTACCGAGACAGTTCAAATTGTGGGCGCTCAGAAGCACATGAGACCCGCCCAATTCCTGCAACCCAATTGGGTGAGACCCAATTCCTGCTTCCAGTTCTTAGTGATTAGATCGCACCAACCCCACCTCCAGCACCCCTGGGACCAAAAGCAGTCCGACTCCCAGAATGTAACCAAGAAATGCCAAAAATCTGTGCACGGTTCCTTTCAGCACAAAACAGCAAATCAAAAATGAGAGGCCAAGACAGAATATTTATTTTTTTAACTAAAATGCATGATCAGCAAACACAGAACAATGGAATTGAGAGGCTCCTCAAGTATAATGAATAGACCCAGATGATCAAAAATGTACCGAGGTTGAATTTTTTTGACCATTAAAAAATCCACAAAACTGAATGATTTTCACAGCTTGTAGGCTTCTGGCAACATGTCTAACACCATTGGACTTAAAAAGTACTTACTTGATGTGGAGCATCTTTTAGGTCTTTGTTGAACTTGTTACAAAATTGCTTCATTTTATGTTTTAGCGGAGGCCCATGGAACCTTAGCTCCAGGCCAGGGATCAAACCTGCACCCACCTCATCAGAAGATGAAGACTTAATGATGGACTCCCAGGGAAGTCCCTAAAAGTACTTTTAAGTGAACTAGGTTCTAGTTCACTAAAAAGCTATGTGGACTTGGGCGGGTTATCCAACCTCTCTGAGCCTTAGTCTCCTTGTGTGTGAGCTGAACCTACCCAGGCCCCACCTCCCTTTTAAGACATTTTTATTGGAGTATAGTTGCTTTACAATATTGTGTTAGTTTCTGCTGTACAACAAAGTGATTCAGTTACACACACACACACACACACACACACACACACACACACACACACACATCCATTTTTTAGATTTCCTTCCCATTTAGGTGGCCACAACATTGAAAAGAGTTGCCCATGCTATCCAGTAGGTTCTCATCAGTTATCTGTTTTATATATAGAAGAGTATATATGTCAATCCCAGTTTCCCAATTCATCCTCCCCTACTCCCTGCCCAAGACCCCTTTAAACAATATATGATTCTAGGATTCTAAGTGTGGCCTTGAAGGGCCCATGTGTAGTTGGGAAGGTGGATATAAAAAATAACCAAACGAGGCCACTTAAGTGACACAGACAAGAGTTACAAGAATGCAGAGTCCTCTTCTGACTGGGGGACTGAGAGAGGCTTCCAGAGGGGAAGGGATTAAACACCTAAAACATAGCACTGCAGCAGGCTCAGCACACTTGATCCCTCCCTTGAAGAGTTGGGAGGTAGCCAATCCAATATTTTAAGATGTCAACTTGATCTGTGTGGACATAAACATCTAAGGAAACTGGTTTCCAAAAATAAATGATAACTGCTACCTATCAGCCTCTGTGAGCACATGAATTTCTCAAGGATGGGGGCATGTTCTGTAATTCTATCCACTTGGTTCTGTGTGGACAAGTATAGTATACTGCTACTTCTTGGATGATAAATCTGGGGCAAGGGAGAGAGAGGAAAGGAGCGGGGAGGTTAAAACCCTTCTTCACATGTTAAAAGTATCCTCTCCCACCTATGTTAATACAGGCACAGGCAACAGCTTGAGAAATGGAAACTAAATTTGTAATAGCAATTCTGTCTGATGATACTGGGGGTAATTATTTTTCTTTTTGCTTATCTGGATTTTCCATTTTTATCAACAGGCATGGATCAATTGTATTTTTTAAACACAAATACATCCCGGAAGGATGATACATCCAACCACTATTATTCACACCTTAATATGAATTAATGGATGTGATCTGCATCCTACAGTGAAGCAGTGGTTTTGTTATGTCAGGTCGGCCGGAGTGTCAAGGTAGTGGAAAGGGAGAGAAGATGTAGGGTTTCTAAAAGGACAGTGAGTAGAGGAGGCCTGCCAGGGTGTTTACTGATCTCGAGGGAGTTTTACAACAACAGGGTGGACAGCAACAGTTAACCTTTCTCATTCAAGGCTTTATCCAATTACTCTCATTATAAATTATTTTTAGATCCAAACTCCAGCTTTCATAACAAACAACGGTACATGGATTTTAAGAATGCTTTGAAAAGAAAGAAAACCTAGGATTCTTCTCCAAACTTTGTGCATTTTGGTTTCCGTCAAGCCTTTTTTGGACAAACCATTATGAAATGGTTAGATAGCATCTTTGCAACCCCATGGTGTGCAGTCCATGGGGTTGCAAACAGTTGGACATGGCTGAGCAACTGAACTGAACTGAGACAGCATCACTGACACAATGGACATGAATTTGAGCAATCTCTGAGAGAGTGGATGACAGAGGAGCCTGGTGGGCTACCGTTCATGGGGTTACAAAGAATCAAACATGATTCAGCGACTGAACAACACTGCAGCCTGTGGACTTTTCCTAAAGCCTCAGTGCTAGTACTTCAGGACTGTAGAGCTGACATAATTAAAAGAAAATGTCATCATTTAGGCTCTGATTTTGGATGGATTACGCTGATATGTGCCTCAACATTACTTGGAAAGGAAGAGTGTGCAGAGGAAATTTATGGTGTAAACAACACTGAGAAGGGATGGACAGTTTGCAGGAATCTAGCTGCCTTTAATATAAGCAATTCATAACTCACTGCAAATCATTTGATAGGCAAATCACTAAAATATCCTTTCTATGGCCAGCTCCTAGAAAACAAATGTGATGGAACACGGGTGCTGGGGCGGGGCAGATATTGGAGTAAATGATTCCTAAGGTCCCAAGTAAAATTTAGACTTAAGACATATTTGAATCCAAGTAGTTGGAGATATTCACACTTGAAGACAGGAACAATATTGAAGGTAGTGACTTATTTAATTGACTCTAAGATGCCATAGGGCTTCCCTGGTGGTTCAGCTGAGAAAGAATCCACCTGCAATGTGGGAGACCTGGGTTCGATCCCTGGGTTGAGAAGATCCCCTGGAGAAGGGAATGGCTACCCACTCCCGTATTCTGCCCTGGAGAAGTCCATGGACTGGATAGTCCATGGGGTCGCAAAGAGTCGGACATGACTGAGCGACTCTCACCTTCAAGATGCGATCAATTATAGATGATTATATTTTTGAAACAAAAAACAAGGCCAACTCAATCATGACACATCAGTTGTAAAATGCATTCTCATTTTTAAAATGTTAAAATGTGGGTGGTAATCTATCTTAGAGTTAATGAAATACAGTATTACCTGTGTTACCTCACCCCTACCTCCTGTCACAGGGAGACAGGCTTTTGTTCAGTGACCTGTTAGACTTCATATGGGGACACCAATCCTTCCCACTCATTGAAGGGTTAAAACATTCGGGTCCTTACTTGGCAGTAAAATGTATCTGTCCTCCAAGGTCCTGTCAGAGTCTATAGCCTCCATTTCTCTCCCATCCAACACTCAGCAAAAGCTCAGTTGAGGAAAGTCGTATTTTTAGGACTGCCTGCACGATACGTAAGCCCGTCCATTCTTCTCCACTCTGTTTACCCGTGGCTTGAGCCAGATCAGCAGAGAGCAAAGTGCTGGAAACGACTAGGTAATCCCTCAGAGAAAGGCTGATCCAGACTCTCTGGCATCCCGCCTTCAGCCCACGTGGGGGACACCATCAGAACAGCCCCAGTCGGACTCAAACTGCCGTCAAGGACGCAGCGTTCTCGTCACGAGGACCCGGTGAGACACTTTTCAGGTCTTTCTACCAGGAATCTCAACAAATAAACTTTTTAAGGTGAAGTATAACGTATATGGAGAAAAGTACACCATTCATACAGGTACGGTTGAATGAATTATCACAAATTGTAACCACCACTCAGATGAAAAAAATGAAACATTACCAGCACCTCAGAAGCCCCGTCATGACTTCCCCCATCGCTATCCCCACCCGCTTCCCCAGAGGCAACCTCTGTCCTGATTTCTAGCACCACAGTTTAATCCATCTTTTAAAAAACTGACCTTTATTGGGGTATAGCTGCTTTACAATGTTCAACTTTACTGTACAGGAAAGTGAATCTGCTATACACATACATACATATACCCCCTCTTTTTCTGAATTTCCTCCTATGTAGATAGAGTTCTTTGTTCTCATTAGTTGTTTATTTTATACATAGAGATGGGAATTGACATGTATACACTTTTCTCTTTGTTTTACACTTTTTTCCTAACTGCAACGTGTGGTTTGTGAGATCTTAGTTCCTGACCAGGAACTGAACCCTCCAGCTCGGCGGTGAAAGCAAGGCATCCTAACCAACCAGACCACCAGGGAATTCCCCTAGTTCATCTGCTTTTGAAGCTTACAGAAATTGAATCATACAATACGTACCCTCTTGGTCTGGCTTCTTTTACTTACAACGATTTTTGTGCAATGCATCCATGTTATTATGAGAAGTAGGCTGTTAATTTTCATTACTGGAATTTCCCCTGTATGTGTCTACAGTCCACTGTATGTATATACCACAAGTTGTTCATTTAGGTTGGTTCTGGTTTGGGGTTGTAACAAATGATGCTACCGTTCTGGTGCACAGAGTAAGCACTTCCGTGAAGCATACATAAGCTGGGTTTTAGGGCAGGCACACGTTCAGTTCCATTTCAAAACAGTTTTCCACTTTACACTTCACCTGCAGTATATGAGAGGTCCAGTGGTTCTGCATCTTCACCAACACTCATCATTGTCAGTCTTTTCATTTGTAGCCATTTTAACAGGTCTCTGGTAGCTCAGGAGGCAAAGAATGCTCCTGCAGTGTGTTTGAGACCTGGGTTTGAGCCCTGTGTCGGGAAGATCCCCTGGAGGAGGGCATGGCAACCCATTCCAGTATCCTTGCCTGGAGAATCCTCACGGACAGAGGAGCCTGGTGGGCTACAGTCCATGGGGCTGAAAAGAGTCGGACACGACTGAGTGACTAACCACAGCAGCACACAGCAACATCTTGTGGCCTTAATTATCATTCCCCCGAATCCCTTCTCTTTCGTGAAGTATTTAGTCAGACTATCTCATCAACTTTTCCCTATTAAATTGCATGTCTTTGTCTAATTGATTTACTCATTGGGATAGGTCTTTTGTCAGCTATATGTACTACAAATGTCTTCCACCTTCTGGCTTCCTTTTTTTTCTCTTAATGGTGGATTTTGATGATCCAAAGTATCAATACTTGATTTTAAAGTAGTTAAACTTATTGCTGGTTTTGAATCCTTTTAAAGGATGTATTCTCCTATTTTTTCTTCTTGAAGCTTTATTATTTGCCTTTCATATTAAAATCAACAATTCCCCTGGAGTTGATATTATGCATGGTATGAGGTGAGGATCAAAATTCATACTCCCCACATGGATATGCAACTGGCCTGGCACCATTTACTGAAAAAACTACCTTTTCCCCATTGCTCTGCAGCGGTACCTTCGTCCTAAATCCAGAGTCCACACAGGAAGGTCTGTTTCTGGTCTCTCCAGTCTGCTTCGTTGGTCTATCTACTCACTGGTTTTCCTGTACCAACACTACCTTGCCGTAATTACTGCAGCTTTATACTAAGGCTTAATGTCTGGTAGAGTAAGTCCTCCAGCTCTGAGCTCTCACAGCCTTGTCTTAGCCTTCTTGGCCCTTTGCATTGCCATAAAATATCTTAAAATCAACTTATCATTTAAAAAATGGCAAATAGATAAATCTGTTGGGATTTAATTAATTGGGATTACATGGACTCTATAGATCAATCTGGGGAGAACTGACTTCTTTACAATATGGAGCCTTCCAATCCATGAACATGACATATCTCTCTTGCTTATTTAGGTCTTGTTTAACTTCTCTCAGTGTTTTATAGTTGTCTTTGTTTTCTGTGTAAGACTTGAATATCTTTCTGTTTTCCCCTAAATATTAGAATGAGATAGCAAATGACATTTTTTAAAATGCTACTTTAATTTTTTACTGGTTTGTTTTTAATCCCATGAAAATTGGACTCTGTTACTCAGAGCTTCCCCCTACCTGATGTTCCATGAAACACCATCCTACTTGTTAAAGTGGTCTGATATATGTTGGGGAAAGTTGGGCTTAACAAATTAATCTCACTTCTTTACTGAAGAACTTCTAAAGTCTTTAATGTGCTAATATAATATTCCTCAAGCTTACTTGCCCATATTCATTCAGTATTCAACAAATATCGTAGTCAAGTATCATGCAAGATATAAGCACAGAAAACAGCAATTGCTCTAGGTATTTTAAGCAGGAGAACTGAATATGGGAATCTTACTGGAGGACTGCAAGAGCAGGTGCTTGGCTAAACTTCTGGAAAGGGCTCCCAGAGGAGCACAGGGCGGCCCCTCCCAAGGAAGGCATTACCACTGAGGCCGCCACTGGCCTCTGTTCCCACTGCCCCAACCACAGCTGCCTCTCGCTGCCCACGAAGCTGAACGCTCGATGTGCTAACGCCCCAAACCCTCACATCTCCACAGCCACAGACATTCCCGGTCACCGGAGAGCAGAAAAACAATGACGAAAAGGAACAGCTGAGAACGGTCTTCATGCTTTCACCCCTCAAACCTCTCACAAATACCTCGAAAGGTGGAACCAACGTGGCACCCAGGACCATGACTGCAGCTCTCTGCACCGTCAGGGGAGACCTAGACCGAGAGCAACGAAGGCTGAGCTGAGTGACGGCGTCCACCGTGACCAACCAGGGCCTGGTGTATGTCTGTGCCAGGCAACCGTCCTAGGCAGAGAATGCATCCGAGCTAAGAGGCTATACGAAACGCAGGTGTTGAACGAGTTAAGGTGAGTACCTGCTCCCCACCTCCGACAGAACTGCTACAACACCTGCCCAAACAAGTGCTTCCTGCAACAGCGTGTGGTTGTATTTCCCTCTTGGTAATGAAGGTAAATGTCAAATTTATGTGTCACTTGTATCAATTACACATGACATCATGGCATGCCTTTCTGCATATTAACTTTACCTTCATCTTATTATTTTTCACTCTTACTTTCCTTATATTCCTATTTCCTGATTTACTTTTTAATCGTATTTTTGTAAGGTATTTCAAATCTTCCTCCTTGCAAGAGAACAGATATAAATTAATCAGCTGTTGGTGAAACCCCAGTGTTCACCCATGAGGAGTTAACCCACTCACAAATTCCTTCTACTGTCATTTTTTGTGGTGGCTTCACAAATTTGATACAGTACAAACGCAAAACAGAAGCATTCATTTCATTTCTGGTTTCACTTCCGTAACCAAAAGACTGGTGGGAAGATTAGAAGTTGAAGCAACAATAAGTTCTTTGAAATAAAAAATTAATATAACATGCCCTATGGTATTTCATGATAATTGGCTTTATTAATGTAGAACAATTAATGTTAGCCATAAAAGGATATAATTAAATGTGCTTTATTCTGTTTAAAATTTATTCTGTTCCCTGTATTGCCATTTAATTGGAAAAAACAACAACAAAAAAACTCGTCAACCTTAGTCCATTTGAAATTGATTCCACTGAAATCAATTAGGTTGTTCAAAAATGACAATGAAAAAAGAAAAGCACAGACTGGAATGCATTACATTTTGGCCCAACAAAAAGGATTCACTCTCATAAGGCAAGCTGACAGTGTTTATGACTTTGAAAATTCACTGAAACTTTTTGCGTGAATTAGATCCTCTGTGATGCATTTTCTTGAGTTCTACCCATGACTGCCATAGTAACAGTCCTGGGATCAGAACCCAAACACCATTGAAAAATACCAGATAGACCCAAAAGTAGAGCCAACTGTTGGTGTTGAGGTTGGGGCTTCCCATAAGCCAGTCTGGGCAGAAGGTCATCCACCCGCCATACAATTCACACACGCACAGGGTAATCTGTACGAAATGCCTGTTAGAGAGAGAGAGACAGGAATGAAACTACCAGCTGTACCATCAGCTCCCACAGCAGAACACCCCCCTGAAGTGGGACCTCAGGTTCCACATAGAGCTCCCTCGATGGGGCAAGTTGACAACTGATGACCCATGCTTTCATTTTCCTTTGGAGAAGAAAATGGCAACCCACTCCGGTATTCTTGCCTGGAGAATCCCACGGGCAGAGAAATTGGGAGGCTACAGTCCATGGGGTCACAAAGAGTCGGACACAACGAAGCGACACTTTCCTTGGAGAAGCAACAATACCCTCTCTAAATTATGCTCAGAGTCAAAGAAGGTCTCTTGGGTATCCAGTCCTATCCCTTGGAAGGTTTAGTGAAGTCACGAGAGACCTGGATGTGAATCTATGAGGCCCAATCTCACCTGCTGGAAAAGGGCTAATAACAGTCCTTTCCTTGAATAATGCTTCACTAGTGGCTTGGTGGTAAAAAATTCACCTGACAATGCAGGAGACTTGGGTTCGATCCCTGGGTCGGGAAGATCCCCTGGAGGAGGGCATGGCAACTCGCTCCAATATTGTTGCCTGGCAAATCCCATAGACAGAGGAGGCCTGGCGGGCTACAGTCCATGGGGTCTGTAGAGTCGGACATGACTTAGCAACTAAACAACAACAACCTCGAATAATATTGTGGCGATTAAATGAGATATGTAGATAAAGCACTGTGCCTGGTACATGTTCAGCAATGCATATGTGTGAAAATGTTTGAAATAATAAACACATGGGTAAATGTAACAAAATCACAGCCACGATCATGGAGTCAAGGACGTGTAAGGGACCCAGGAGCAAGCTCCAGGAGATGGTAAACAACAGGGAAGCCTGGCGGGCTGCAGTTCATGGGGTCACAAACAGTCAGACACAACTGATCGACTGAACAACAACAAAGGACCCAGGAGAAAATTTTTCCTACCAACTCTCTATGTAAAATTGGGTGGGGGCAAGTGGATTAAATGACTTCTGAGGTTTCTTTCAAGTTTGAAATTTCATGATGAAGTTTTACACAGACTTTTTTGATCCAAGATGGTGGAAAATGGAATGCCACTGTACCCAGCTGACATGAGTCTAAAACCATTCCCTGGGAATCATTCCCAGGAAAGCAATCTGTTCATCCCAGATCACTCTGTCCCTAAGAAGGAGAGGAAGGAAACAGAGGGAGGGAGCAGAGTTCAAAGTTTCAGGGCCTGACTGACGGATGGTTAATCTGCCGTCTTTCTCCTCCATCTCCTCACTCTTCTGCCTTCCTCATACCTTATACAAGCTGCTTCTGAAAAGACTTATTTATCTTGCATGTCCACCTCAGAATTACATAAGAGACTTCTCTTTGCGACACGTGGAAGAGGAGTTTCTACAATAATTTGGGGGCGAAGGATGAAAATAACTACCCTTTGATTTTCCACAATACTGGTGGCAAATCACCCAAAGCTGCTAATATTGTGCTTGTCTATACAGTATCGAGGTTGTCACTACCATCTTATTTCTAGTGTTTTTTATTTTGACCGACCCGAAATTAAACTATCATCAAATGATTTTCGTCTACTCTACTTTTTGTCTAACAAAGAACGGTGGTCGTTACCCACTCCACAAGTCCCCTTGGCATCAGGACAGCTGGTGTTTCTCCTCTTTCCAGCCAGATAGGAGAGCACTTACCGATAATGTTTCTCTTTGACGATGGCATAAACAAGGACTAGTGCCAGAGATCCACCCAGGACGACGGTCAGAATTTCCACAGACACAATGGTTGGATCAAAATAAAGCCATCTTGCATCAGCTTTGCCATATTCTTTCCCTAAAAACAAAATACACTTTGTTACTCATCTGGCAATTATTTTTATGACAGTTGGTGGAAATGACCTTTTCCCTCCCCCCACCATTTGGAGGAGATAAAAAGAATAATTGAACTGCCATTCTCTCTACAGTCTTCATCATGCCTTAGTGGAAGGAAAGAGGGGTCTTGAGACAAAAACACATTGCCACTGGACACAAGTAATGAAAACAACATCACGTTACATTTGTAAATGATTTGCATTTTCCAAAGTGCTTTCACAGGTGTGGCTTCTTTATCTCCTCCTTTTTCATCATAAGCAGCAGAATTCTAAATTAATTTGACACAGTCAGACTTTGCAAAGATAATCTTTCATAATTATCTTGGTAGATGCATTATAATTCCTAACTTCACAATTTCAATATAAAGTCTGTATGAGTCAGATGTGGGAAAATTACTGTTCAGGAAATGTTTATAAAAACACGTTTATTAATAACTGAAGAGGAATTGAGTGTTGAGGGGCCAGCAAGGAGGGGAGGGGAGCCACACAGCCTGGACTACAGAATGAATCTGAAATGGACAAAGCAGGCATTTCAGTCTGCTCCAGACACGGTATTCACTAACAACAGCCACCACAAAAGCCTCAGCTGTGTTGACCCAGGAGTAGGTGTGCACTAAGAAATCTTTTCAGACCCCATTATTGGGATGGTTTCTTCCAGAAAGCACCATGACGTCAGACAAGACTTTTTAGTGCTGGACCGAGGGCCTTGCATGAAGTCATATTTCCTTCCCTCCTTCTCTCTTCTTTCCTTCCTTCCTCCTTCTCTCCCTCCTCTCTCTCTGTCTTTATCTCTTTCTTTTTCTGTTTACCAAAGTAATACGGGCTGGTCCTAAGATCTCGAATAACCAGTGTGTGTGTGGGGGACCCAAAGCCCCCACTTCTTTGCTTCCTTTAACTACAGTTCTCACATAACTTAGGAAAGCTAAGAGATCTTAGCTACAAGATCTGACTGATTGGTCTGAACAGCACAAAACAAGTCTCTTAATGGTTAGAGTTAGGGTCCCTCCAGGGCTGGGGATAGAGGTTTCTGATGAAAGGCTGTCCTCAGGGAAAGGACAGGCCAGTAAACAGAGTGAGCTGTTAAATGAGATAACACAGGGACACATGTGAGCGGAGACTCTGTGAGAGGCCAGACACAACTGGCAGAGTCGTCCGGCCTGTCCTTAGCTGACTGCCAGCCGTGACCTCACTGGAAAACAACTAACAGTGAAAGTAAAAGTTTTCCCTCTAAATTTAAACACACACAATAGGTGGAATACAGCATCTAGTGTACCCAAAAATCTAAGAAATATCACAAGTGAAAGGTCAGTGCTTCGGGAGCAGAGAGATTAGTGGGTATTCAGACATTCACAAAAATAACCCTATTCATTCATTAAAAAAAAAATATTTATTTATTTGGCTGTGCTGGGTCTTAGCTGTGGCACAAGGGATCTTCAGTCTTTGTTGCAGCATGCGGTATCTTTAGGAGTGGCATGAGAACTCTTAATTGAGGCATGGGGATCTAGTTCCCTGACCAGGGATTGAACCCGGGGCATCAGGAGCAGGGAGTCTTAGCCACTGGACCACCAGGGAAGTCCCCATTTCATTCTTTAATTCAACAATTTTTTTGTAGCATATAGATGCCTCTGTGCTAGACCTCAAGAATGCCTAGCACAGAACACAAAGTCTGCCTGCTGGTGGCTCATGTTATAGTGAGGTCAAACCACGCAGGAAGTGATGGGGACAGAGAATGGGGCCAGGGAGGGAAGGCACTGCACAGACCAGCAGATGAGGGGTTCTGATCACCTCCTCTTCACCCTGCAGGGGAGGGAGGGAGGCCACCCTGGGCTCTGGGGCGCCCACAGGCGGGCGACACTGGACGGATGCGGTTGATGGCCGCTCCTTGGTGATGTGACACTCGCAGGCTCGGAGAGGGGGACACTGTGCCACGGGGGGCCGCACGCAGGGGCTGCGGGAGGCGGGCTCTGCAGTAACACCAGGGTGGGTGACCCGTTCCCACGGCGATGTGGCTGGCCTGCTGGAGTGATTCTGAGGGCTGGCAGGGCACTGAAGCGAGCGGCTCCTTAGGCATACACAGGCACCGTGCTGGTCCGCGAGGCCGGAGGGCGTGCGGCTGGGCCGCTTGTCTAGACTTCGTCATACAGGCAAGCAGGGTGGGGAGGGGCCGGGCACTTAGGGCACTGGAGGACCTCTGGATTTTACCAGGAGTCAAGGCACACACAATCCTGGATCTTAATCGCAGGCTCTTCTCTTACTCCCAGACCTTCCGTTGTTGGTGTTCAGTTGCTCAGTTGTGTTTGACTCTTGGCGACCCTCTGGGCTGCAGCACGCCAGGCTTCCCTGTCCCTTCAGCATCTCCCGGAGTTTGCTCACACTCGTGTCCACCGAGTCGGAGATGCCGTGCGACCGCCAGCAATCACGGCAATGAAGTGAGGATCAGCACCACGCAGATCAGTGGCCAGCCCACCATTCGTTTCTGCCCCAAAAGGTACCCAGTCCAGTCACAAGGGCCAGTTAGAGGAGGGAGGGGGTCACTGAACACGAGCCCCACACAGACCCTCGTGCGGTGCGTCCGCTGCCCCCTCCGTGGGGAAGGGTGTATGAACTGACACAGCTCCTACTCCCTAAATCAGATGGCCTCTCCTGGAACTTGTGCTAAGAAATAACCCGAATTACAGAAATAAAGTGCATTTCGTGGGGAAACAAAAAAAAAGCTCAGGTCTTAAATCACAGGAGGCGAGCCCTGAACAAGGGGAGGGAGAGGTGTTCCAGGGGAAAAGTGTGAGCAAAAGCCTAGGGGCGAGAGTGCTTGGTGCGTCTGAAGCTACAGGCGATTCAGCAGAGATGAAGGAGACAGCGTGTGTGTGTGTGTGTGTGCATGAGACAGCGTGTGTGTGTGTGACAGCGTGTGTGTGCGTGCGTGTGTGTGTGTGAGACAGCATGTGTGTGTGTGTGCGTGTGTGTGACAGCGTGTGTGTGTGAGACAGCGTGTGTGTGTGAGACAGTGTGTGTGTGTGTATGACAGCGTGTGTGTGCGTGTGTGTGCGTGTGTGTGAGACAGCGTGTGTGTGAGACAGCATGTGTGTGTGTGTGAGACAGCATGTGTATATGTGTGTGTCTGCGTGTGAGACAGTGTGTGTGTGACAGTGTGTGTGCGTGTGTGAGACAGCATGTGCGTGTGTGTGCGTGCGACAGCGTGTGTATATGTGTGTGCGTGTGAGACAGCGTGTGTGTGACAGCGTGTGTGTGAGAGACAGTGTGTGTGTGTGCGTGTGTGTGTGCATGTGTGTGTGTGCATGTGTGTGTGAGACAGCGTGTGTGTGTGCGTGTGTGACAGCATGTGTGTGTGTGTGCATGTGTGTGTGACAGTGTGTGTGACAGCGTGTGTGTGTGCGTGTGTGTGTGTGTGCGACAGCGTGTGTATATGTATGTGTGAGACAGTGTGTGTGTGTGCATGTGTGTGTGACAGTGTGTGTGACAGCATGTGTGTGTGCGTGTGTGTGTGTGCACGACAGTGTGTGTATATGTGTGTGTGTGAGACAGCGTGTGTGTGACAGCGTGTGTGTGAGACAGTGTGTGTGTGTGCGTGTGTGTGTGCATGTGTGTGTGTGTGCATGTGTGTGTGAGACAGCGTGTGTGCGTGCGTGTGTGACAGCGTGTGTGTGTGTGCATGTGTGACAGCGTGTGTGTGTGTGTGCGTGTGTGTGTGAGACAGTGTGTGTGTGTGCATGTGTGTGAGACAGCGTGTGTGTGTGCGTGTATGACAGCGTGTGTGTGCGTGTGCATGTGTGTGACAGCGTGTGTGTGTGCGTGTGTGTGCGACAGCGTGTGTATATGTGTGTGTGTGTGAGACAGTGTGTGCGCGCGCATGTGTGTGCATGTGTGTGAGACAGCATGTGTGCGTGCGTGTGTGACAGCGTGTGTGCATGTGTGTGTGACAGCATGTGTGTGTGTGTGCGTGCGACAGCGTGTGTATGTGTGTGCGTGTGAGACAGCATGTGTGTGTGACAGCGTGTGTGTGTGCGTGTGTGTGCATGTGTGTGTGTGACAGTGTGTGTGTGTGCGTGACAGCGTGTGTGTGACAGCATGTGCGTGTGAGACAGCGTGCGTGTGTGTGACAGCATGTGTGTGTGTGTCAGTGTGTGTTTGTGTGTGAGACAGCATGTGTGTGCATGTGCGTGTGACAGCGTGTGTGTGTGTGTGAGACAGCGTGTGTGTGTGTGTGCGTGTGTGAGACAGCGTGTGTGTGTGTGACAGCATGTGTTTGTGAGAGTGGGGGCCGGGGCAGCGGCGGGGGCAGCATCAATGCTGGAGAGGAAGGCGGGGCGGGGAGGGGAAGCAGGCCCTGCTATCTGCCCGCCCCAGTGTATCAGACCTCTGGCATCTCATCTACCGCTTAACTTTGACCATCTGTTTGCAGGGTAAACGCCTATAAAGGGCGGGAAAGGACAAGCAGAGCGTTGATAAACCTCATGTGATCCTCGTCCTTTATCCTGCGACTGACCGCCAGGCTCGGGCAGAGGTTTAGAGACAGAGGCACAGGAAGAGCTGGAGGCGGCGACCAGGAGCCTTTGCCACAGAGCAGAGATGAGGACGCGAGGGGCGGCGATTCTTTTTCTTAACCAAACTCAAGTCAGCCTCCTCCGAAACCCTTTCTCCAAAAGGCCCCAGCACCTTGGGTTCTGGGTTCGGCCCAAGAATCCTGCTGAGTAACTTGAGTGATTTATTCTCTCAATAGCTTTAAAAAATATCATACGGCAGTGTTAATTGTATTGACTGTCATACATTACATCCCTAGTAAGAATTTATTATATAATTAGAAGTCTGTACCTTTTGAACATCTTCATCTAATTCCTCCACTCCCCAGCCCCTGCCTCTGGCAACCAACCACAAATCTGATCCTTCTCTAAAATGAGTTTTGGTTTTTCAAATTCCACATATAAATGAGATATTATAGTTTTCACTTTTTTCTGTCTGGCTTTTATCATTTGGCACAATGTTCTTCAAAGTCCATCTATGTCATCACAAACAGCAGGATTTCCTTCTTTTTATGGATGAATAATATTCTGCTTCCCTGGTGGCTCAAGTGGTAAAGAATCCACCTGCAGTGCAGGAGACCCAGGTTCGATCCACGGGAAGGGAAGATCCCCTGCAGAAGGGAATGGCAACCCACTCCAGTATTTTTGCCTGGAGAAATCCATTGACAGAGGAGCCTGGCGGTCTACAGTCCATGGGGTTGCAAAGAATGGGATAAATACAATGCAAGTTGTTTATCCACTAATCTGTCCATGGACACTTAGTTTGTTTCCATGTCTTGGCTGTTGTATAATAGATATTGCTGCTATAAACAGGGAGTGCAGATTTCCAATCACTCTTGATATCTAACCTAATTCCTCATCCCCCACCCTTTACATCAATACCCCGGCTTGCCTTCAGCAAAAATCCTGTTGAGTCAATCATGAGTCCCTCAGCCTTGATGTTTCTTCTTAATAATTTTCCATCCACTGACTCCGACCCTGTTCCTGGCCTATAAATCTCCACCTGTCCTTGTATTTAGGGCTTCCCTGGTGGCTCAGAAGGTAAAGAATCTGACTGCGATGCAGGAGACCCAGGTTCAATCCCTGGGTCGGGAAGATCCGCTGGAGAAGAAAACGGCAACCCACGCCAGTATTCTTGCCCGGAGAATTCCATTTTGGGGCTTTCCAGGTGGAACTAGTGGGAAAGAACCTGCCTGCCAATACAGGAGATGTAAGACACAAGAATTCAGTCCCTGGGTTGGGAAGATCCCCTGGAAGAGGGCATTGCAACCCATGCCAGTATTCTGGCCTGGAGCGTCCCACGGACAGAGCAGCCTGGCGGGCTGCAGTCCATGGGGTTGCAAAGAGTCGGACACGATTGAGTGACTGAACATGAACACCAGTCCCTGTATTAAGGGTTGAGCCAATCTCTCTCCCACTGGTGTGGTCTCTGTCGAATAAAGTCTTCTTTACCATCTTTAACAAGTTCTACATCCTGGTGAATCCAAGTGCAGTCCACAGATCAATATCTAGGCGGCTTCATGCCAGATCCTCTGAACCAGAATCTGCATTTTAACAAGAACCCCAAGCAATCTGTGTCCTTTAGTTTGGCCATGCTGGGTCTGTGTTACAGCACACAGGCTTAGTTGCTCTGAAGTATATGGGATCCTAGTTCCCCAACCAGGCATCAGACCTGCGTCCCCTGCATTGGAAGGTGGATTCTTGACCATTGGATCACTAAGGAAAACTAGTTAATATCTCTGTAGAGCAGGAAGAGTTCTGGAAATTATCTACAAGAATATATATATGTAACTGTAGCCCACCAGGCTCCTCTGTCCATGGAATGCTCCAGGCAAGAATCCTGGAGTGGGTTGTCATGCCCTCCTCTAAGGGATCTTCCTGAGCCAGGGATCGAACCCAGGTCTCCTGCACTGCAGGCAGATTCTTTACCATCTGAGCCACCTGGGAAGCCCGTTCAATATATACACATATATATATACACAAATAAATGTTAAAAGTATGGAAAATACCCAGTTTAAATACTGCACACTCCTCAATCTGCACTCACTGCAAACATTTTAAAATATAGCTTTATTGAGATATAATTCATGTGCCACGTCTGTTTTTTCTTGAATCTGTTTAAAGTGTATAATTCAACAAGTTTTAATACATTCCCAGATTTGAATTAACCACAATCTCACTTTACATTAGTTTCTACTTCCCAAAAGCAATCTGAACCCACTGTCAGTCACTCCCCATTACTGGCCTATATTCCACTCCCTTCCTGCACCCTCAGGCACCTACTAATCTGTCATCTGTCTCCATAGATCTGTCTCTTCTGGACATTTCATGCAAATAGAATCATACAACGTGGGGTACAGGTACTCATTTAATGGACAGCCGTACTTGGAATTAACCCCTCATTTACTCACACAATGAAGCGATCAAGGCATCTGAGTCTGTGATGCTTCCCACCATAGACAAGTAGACATAAGGGCCTTCCTAGAGAGAAAAAGAAACATGCTCTAACTCAGCATCACACCCAGAGGACGGCACCGCAGACACACCGCCGCGTGGGCAGCACCCTCGCCCAGCCTGCAGGAGCACACGTCCCGGCGGGCACCCTCAGCCCCGCACCGCACAATCCCAGTGCTTACGGGCGGGTGGAGGGAGGTCCTGGAGCCTGGCTCCCTGACCTTGGAAACGGATACATCCACAGTGAATGTTTATATAGTAAATGCTAGTTTTCAGTGACTGGCATTCTAAAATCAGAGGGGTGTTCTGATGGGGGGAAAAAATAAGCTGAAAATTTTGTCCAAGAGTCTAAATGTTATAGTAAATAAGCTAAATTCTGGATTAATCCAGAAGTACTTCAAAGTACTTCATTGCGTCTCACCTCAAAAAAAACGCCAAGATCTCTCGTAACAAAAGTGGCATTTAAGTATCACTATCAGAGCAGGAACTAGTTCTTTCTTCCTGCATAAGGGCAAACTTAGGAAAATTAAAAACGCTTACAGGCTACATTTAACATTTTGAGTAAGGAAATCTCTGTAATTATATTTAGCATTTCCTCATCAGTGACATGTTTCTTTGCCTAAAATTTAAAAAACCGGATTAACTAGGATTCCCTAATATATCTGATTATGTTGCTCCTTTGAACAAACTTTGTTGCTGGTTGGTCAATACAACTTTTTGTTTGTTTGTTTCTTTTTAACAATCACTTACATGACATCAGAACAGTGTCTCTGCCTAAACCCTAAGCTCACTTCTAGTACAACCTCTCAGAGGCCACCAGTTTTAACCACTTCTAACTGTAGTTCTGGCAACTATCTTTATACTTATATTACTATTTCTATTACTACTTCTTTGGGCTTAGTGAATCAGTCATGTCCGACTCATTGTGACCCCATGCTCCTATATGCATAGGGATTCTCCAGGCAGGGATACTTGAGTGGGTTGCCATGCCCTCCTCCAGGGGATCTTCCAACCCAGGGATCAAACCCAGTCTCCCACACTGCAGGCGGATGCTTTACTGTCTCAGCCACCAGGGAAGCCCAAGAATATGGGAGAGGGTAGCCTATCCCTTCTCCAGGGGATCTTCCCGACCCAGGAATTTAACTGGGGTCTCCTGCATTGCAGGTGGATTCTTTACTAGCTGAGCTACTGGGGAAGGCCCACTATTAACTGCCCATCCTGAAAAATTACGCTATATATTATACTGTTCTTTTCCCCTTCCCTCCATCCAATTTTTGATAGAGTAGGGGAGGAAAAACTTCTTCAAAAGCATACACATTTGATTTACTATGTTGACACGTACATGGGGATCTTCAAAAGGAAAATGACCTGAATAAGCTGTCAGGCCCCAAAACTCATACGCCTTTTTACCCAAAGACCAGTAACTGCAGGGATGTGAAGAGAATAAGGGACTTGGGCTGAGGACAGTAAATTGTGGGAAAGTGACCAGGAAATACACGGGGAGAAACTAATGGAAGACAAGGGTTATTTGAGTCGGGCTATTTGCACAGGACCATTTTAGCACCAACTCCCAGTCCTCGGTGAAATGAATGTTCTTTTCCTCCCGGTAAAGGGAGGGCACCTTTCTCAAGGGAAACTCAAAGACCTGATCTGAGCTAGAAACGGGGGAGATCAGAGTGCTCTTCCCACATCTACTGTTCCTCAGGTGCCTTCTGTTCAAAATCATCAACGTGCCAAAGTGGCATAGTTTAGAGTGGCGTGTCCTGAACTCCTTTAACAGCTACATGGATTCTCTTTAATTCTTCTGTTAGTTATCCCGAATTTGTAACTTCAGGAATCAGCTTCAAACCTCACCTGACCCCTTCATCAGTGCTGTGCAGTATATGGACTTCTGTGATATCAAGCGCTTATGAGAACCCCCAACCAGCTCTCTCCCCCTCCTCCCCACTTCTCTCAGCCTCTGTCCACTTTGCTTGCACATGGCTGAGATTGACTGCATTTCCATTCTTGTTCTGTAAATGTGTTTATCTTCCCCATTTCAACTGTAAGTAGATTCTCAAAGCTGAAAAGTCACTTAATGCTCTATTGACAACATGGCAATTACATAAAGTGGCAACAGGCCACAACTTCTTACTCTACAAATCAGTATTTCTGTCACTTAAGAATGTGGCAAATGGAGTATTCTTTCTTACACTCATACATTTCTCAAAATCATGCTACATTTCCTTCGGCTTTGGGCCAGGACTTTCTTATATTTTTGTTTATGCCACAGTTTATAATTGCCTTTCTTTTTCTCTAATTGAGAGAAGAAACCCGACTTTCTCCCCATCTCATTAACATAATTTTATAGCTTCTTATACATTCCAGTCTTCGCTGAACAGAGGCTTGAAGCTGGTTTCTCTTTTCTTTCTTTTTTTTAAAGGTTTATTTATGTGTTTATTTATGGCTGTGCAGGGTATCGTTGCTGTGCTCAGGCTTTCTCCAGCTGCCAGCGAGCGGGAGCTACTCTTTCCTGAGGCGCGAGGGCTCCCCACGGCAGTGGTTTCGCTTGCGGCGGCCCACAGGCTCGGGGCACACGGGCCTCAGTAGCCGCAGCAAGTGGACTCAGCGCCTGTGGCGCACAGGCTCCGCTGTTCCACGGCAAAGTGGAATCTTCTTGGATCAGGGACCGAACCGGTGTCCCTGCATTGGCAGGCGGATTCTTCACCACTGAGCCCTACTTTCCCTTTTCTTAACGTTCTGTAAGTTACCTAATGGGTAAGTGTGGTCTATCTCAGAGCATATATGAAAATCCTATTTCTTAAAGGAGAATTTAAAAAATTACACATGAGATAAACAGTGTTTTTAAACAAGAAGTACTCCCTGTCTGCTTTGTAGCTCCTTATTCTCACCGGCTGATTTTTTAAAATTATTTTTAGCAGAGCCATAGGAAGTCCACATCACTTCCCTGGCATGGCCGGGGAACTTTCTAGACAAAATACATCTGCTGGACTGGCCAGCAAGGGCAATGGGGCTGAGCTGAATATGACCCTCTGTGGGGCTCAGTCCACCTATGTGTGAGATAAAGGACTTCCCAAAATTAGACTGTTGATCTCATGACTTCCACGAGCCACCTCTTCAGCTGGAGCCATCGGCAAACCTGGACCCTGACATTCTGTCTGGCTCTTTCCTCAGGAGCAACTCTGTGGGTAAACGGAGGATGGGGACCTGGATCTAAGATCAAGATCAAAGTCACTGGAAACATTAGTTACTATTTGCCAAGAACCAAAACTACCTGTAGAATTTTAGAGAATGGAAACAGACTTACTTCCTCCCATGAATTCATATTTTATATCAAATGAACCATAAAGCGCTTTTTCTTCCCTGTTAAAATTATTTCCAGGCTCTGGAAGACGAAATTTATACTAACTTGCAAAATAAACTTGGAAGGTAATCAGCTCTGAAAGTCTTTAATCATAATATATGGTAAAGAACTAGTCAGCCAGAACTAAAATTCATGTTTGAGCTCAACAACTACCTGGAGATTTTAAGGACCAGATGAAAGGTGCTTGGTAAGCAGCAAAGGCCATCAGTAGGGTGTTGCTTAGCTGGGAAAGAGGGCCTGAACAGGTGGAGGGGTAAGCACCCTGCACTGCAGGCTGGAGATCTGGGTGAGCTTGAGCAAAAAAAAAAAAAAAAAATTCAGCAGATTTTATTTCTTATATTCCCTGCTACCTTGACCTCTCTGAGTTTCAACTCCCTCATCAATATAAAGCAACAGAGTAAAGCTCTCAACAGATGTTTGATGAATGAAGAACTGAATGAATGAGAGCAATGAGCAGAGTTAGGCTAGATCTTCACCTTTTCGCAGAGTCTCTTACTGACTGGAAGCCCTTGGGCCACTGACCTCACTGGTGAGGCCCATGAGCAGTGGCTGGGGCGGAGTGCCTGTCAGTGAGGGTCAGGCGTGGAGGAAGGGGGCCCCATGGAGGGTTGTGGGGTCAGCGCCTTTTAAGCCCAGCCTTTCAAGTAGGAGCGGGCTGTGCGTCCCACACCTTCCACAAGTCATCAGTCATGGGAAGTCATCAGTTATGGGAAGGCCAAGCTCATGGCAGCCACCAGGGCAGACTCCCTGACTGGCTGGGCTTGAGGCTGTCATCAAGAATTTCCAAGCGAGTGCAATTATTCCCACCACTGTCTGAGAGGCAGACACCTGCCCCCTAAGAAGCACAACCTGGATTTTTACAGAGAAACTCACTCAGGATGTAGGGGCAACATGACAGGAGGTCTGGCTTGCCTTGAAAATACTTCAGCAATAATGAAAGAAAAAGGAAGGGGGAAAAAAAGAGAGGGAGGGAGAAAAAGAAAAAAGTGACAAATGAAGCAAGTGCAGCAAAATTTGAAAACACTGAACCTGCTCATTACACTAGTCTCTCTACATCTGTGCATTTTTGAAAATTTTCACAGTAAAGCTTAATTTAAAAAAAGATATATGGGACATCCCCCCTAGTCCCAAGGGCTAGGACTCTGCATGCTTCCAACTCAGAGAGCCCAGATTTGATCCCTGGTCAGGGAACTAGATCTCACGTGCCACAACTAAGAACTGGTGCAGCCAAATACATAAAATAAATAAATACTTAAAAAATATATATATATATAGCACTTTTTCATACTGTTCATGGTTAGACAGCATCACTGACTCATTGGACATGAATTTGAGCAAACTCCCAGAGATGGTGAAGGACAGGGAAGCCTGGCGTGCTGCAGTCCATGGGGCTGCAAAGAGTTGGACACGACTGACTGAACAACATACAGCACTTTGTCAAAAGTGAACTGCTGTCCCTTGCGTTTCTGAATTCCTGTCTCAGGACACCATGGTCCCAGTGGTCCTCTGCCCTCACACTTCTCACACACATGCAGGGCCCCCCTGGCCCGGGACCCAACCGGGAGCACCTGGGGCTCCCGCTGGGGGCTTGGCTCTGCCAGGGTCCCCTCTGGACCCCAGGAAGCCTGGGGTCAGGTCTGGATCAGCCTCGGCTCGCACAGCG